TTGACTTCGGCGCCAGTGACAGATCTGCTGCTTCACCCAGCTGCTTCTGTGGAAGAAAGAGCGTAGCCAGTAACAGAAATGATAGTCTCAGAAAGAACTGAGGGGTAGAGGGACTGGAAGTCAGGGTCCAACTATCCTTTTAATCAACCAGGCTCATATCTCTTACATACCCCCTGTTCTCTCCTCTCACACTGTCACCACCTTGGTGCAGGCCCTTAGCACTTCATGGCTGTGATATTTCAATAGCTTACTGGTTGGTCTGCCTGGCATAAATCTCTTTCCACTCCAGTACGTACTCCACTCAGATGTCACAGTGATCTTCCTAAAGTGAAGGTCTGACCATTTCACCTCTCCCCCAACCCCTATGCAGTAAATATAGGGATTTTTCAGTCACCTCCAGTATCAAACACAAAAGCCTCTGTTTGGTATTCAAAGCCCTTCATAATCTGTCTGCCCTGACCTTTTCAGTCTTCTTATGGCACACTCCATGTACTCCAGTGACACTGGCCTCTTTACTCTTCCTATAACAAGGCACTCCATTTCCCAACTCGCATTTTCACTGTCTGTCCCCTATGCCTAGAATATTCTCCCTTCTCATCTCTACCTCCTACCTTTCCTGGCTTCCTTCAAATCCTAGCTAAAATTTCACCTCTACAGGAGGCCTTTCCTGATCTCTTAAGTTTAGTGTCTTCCTTCTGTTGATTATTTCAAATGTTTTCTTATATATAGTTTGTATATATTTGCATATTGTCTCCCCCCATGAAACTACGATCTTCTTGAGAGTAGGAACTGTCTTTTGCTTTTTTTTGTTTCCCCAGTGCTTAGCATAGTGCCTGACACATAGTAGGCATTTAAATGTTTATTGACTGATGAAGAGAAAGGCCGGGGGTTGTAAGGCAGAGAGAGAGGTGGAATGACTACATATTATAAGAGAAGAGAATTTCAGAATTCATAACATTTACAGTTATAACTATAACAGTATAACATTTATGGATGATGACAAGGTCAAGACTATATATAGCTGAGGTAGAGTAGAAAAGTGAGTCACGGTAAGAATAACTTAAGAAAATTGGAAGATGTGGTGTTTGTGAAAGTATCAATATGTATGTTGAAATCTCCTACTATGAAAGCAGGAGTTGAGGAAGAAAGAAAGATGGTGAACCAAGCACTGAACTTGCTGAAGAAAGAAGAATGTCTAAGAGATCAATAGAGAAAAGTTAGAAGAATTTCGATTAGGTAATAAACATGGATTAATGAAGTTTAAAGGAGGACAGGTTACTAAATGATGTGATAAATTGCCTGACATTAGCAATGGGGAGCGAGGACTATTCCAACTCCCACATCATAGTCACATTGTGGGGATGATGGTTCATGAGAGATCTCATCATCAAATGAAAACTAGTAAGAACAGTGGAAGGTCATAGCTTTCACAACTATGGTTAGGAAAAGAAAAGAATTTAGTCAGTTATAATCACCATAAAGATTTTATTTAAATTATTTAATCTAATGATGTTTTTATTTAATAGTTTTCAATGAGAAATATTAATTCCTATCTACATATGGAAATGATTGATTTATTTTAAAAGGTATCAACAAAAATTTTGTAAAAAAATAAGGAAAATTGGGGCAGCTAGGTGGCACAGTGGATAAAGCTCTGGCCTTGGAGTCAGGAGGACCTGAGTTCAAATTTGGTCTCAGACACATGACACTTACTAGCTTTGTGATCATGGGCAAGTCACTTAACCCCGATTGCCTCGCCAAAAATAAATAAATAAATAAATAAAAAGAAAAAGAAAATAAAGAAAATAAATATTGAAAGAACACAGACCTTGGAATCGGGAGACCTGGGATCATGTTCTGACTCTGACTAGTTATATAACCTTGAACAAGTCACTCAAGATAAGTTTTATTATTTGTAAAAGATGGAGTTGTATGAGACAGTATCTAAGGTCTTTTCCAGTACAATATAAAGTCCATAAAAAACATTAAGTATTCAAGATGCTGTGGAGACATCAGAATAAGTTAGCCCTAGTCAGCAGTCAGACAACTGGTAAAGTCCAAAGTAACTTTCAGATGTTTTTAAACTCCCAAATAACTTTTCTAGTCAGAAAAGTCTTGAAGTACATGCATACAGCAATGTCTAACAGAAACTACCATGACTGAGACATTTTGATCATATCATCCCATAAATGCTCACTAGTAGATCCATCCAGTGTTCCAGAGGCCTACCTTTAGGTCTTTTATCATTCCGCTGCTATAAGTGCCAATCTTAGTGTTAGTCATCCCTTCACTGTGCTACATGACTGGTCCAATTGATTTCCCAATTGTATATCCTAGATTATATCTTTTGTGCCATTACAGGTAATGATTGGCTGCGGATTACTTACCTCCACCATACATATCTCCCTTAGGTGTCCAGGATATGGAAATGCACAATAATTATACAATTATTGTTGTTATTAAAAATTATAAAATTACACAGGTGGATATCCCCTATCCAAGCCTCAGCTTGGATCATAATAATCAGTGGATTATTCCCACTATCTACTATCTTCACTCCAATTGGAGAAAATCATGAAACTGGGCCAGTTGGGTTCATTACAAATATGTGTTACATAATTTCAACTGGGCCTTCATTGAACCAAGGCAATCCTTTCTATCCCTAAGCAATTCACAATCCTAGCAGATACCACATATACCACAGCAGATTTTCCAATTAAATTGAAAAGACAATTTTTTAATGTTCATATTAGTCATGTTGTAAAGAAGAATTAGAACCAATGGGAGGAACCACAAAAAAGAAGAAACAAACAAAAAAAGAGAGAGTGCAAATAATGTGCTTCAATCTGCATGCAGACTCCATTTTTCTTTTTCTGGATGTGGGTAGCATATAATTAGACACCGTAACTAGGTGATGGGGCAATCAGAAGCAGCCTACTAGTCCGGTTGTTATCTGAATATGAATCCACTAGTCCTCTACATAATATTGTTGACAAGTGGTCATTCAGCCTCCACAAAAAGACATCCAGTGATGAGCTCATTAACTATGAAAGCAGCACTTTCCACCAAATGGCTATACTTGTTTGAAAAAAACAAACACGTGCATTTCTAGTGATTTGAGACTGACTTCCTGAGAGAATTTTATGGTTTCTTCTCATTAGTTAAAATGAAGTTATCTAGAAAGGCAGCAGAAAGAACAAGGATTTGGAATCAAAAACCTGAATTCATTTCCTCTCTCTGCCACCTACTAGTTGAATGATGACAAGCAAGCTATTTAATCAATCTTAACCTCAATTTCCTCATCTTTAAAATAGTAGCAGTTATTCTATTTGCTTCACAGAGTAATTATGAGGAAAGGAATTTGTAAATGTTAAAATGTTATGAAAAAGTAAACGATCCTTGTTCTTCCTATTTAAAATCTAGATTCAATTTTCTTTTGGTACTGCATAGTCCATAATGGATTTTCTTCATTGTAGATGTTGACCTGAAAGTTGGTTAAAGAGACAACAAGGGAGGTGATAAGTAAATTCATATTGTTTTATTCCCTTAAGCAGCTCACGTACATGGAATCAGAGCTTTAACTCTGATTGACTCAAGTAATTTTTGGAGGACATTTAAACCCTGACTCAGGATGTCTGTGCTACTAAAAAAAAAATACAGCCTCCATATGTTTTTTAACATATAGCATGGGAAAGAAAGTTTCTTAATTGAATAGGTTATAAATACAATAAAATAGGAGAATGTCAAAGTGTCCATTGAAATTATAGATCCAGGATATCTGTGTTTCCCCTACATAACATACATCTATAGGATACAAAGATGAGAAAAATCCCACTATTCAAGAGAGTGTCTGGTCCCAGGTATCCTGTCCTTAGTGATCACAAATAGGAAGAATGCTGGTCAATTCCGTCTGGTCCTGTAGTTGCTGACACAGGAAGGGGTATTTTTAGTTCACTCAGAGAGAAAAGATTAATTCAGGTTTTTGGCCCTTATTGGGGCTCAGTTGATCTTAAATGATTATCATAGGTCAGTTTCCAAATTTAGCATCTTTGTATAAAGTATTTACAACAATAACATATTGAGGGTAGCATTTGTGAAAATATGAGAAGGGAGCAGGCAAATATCAGTAGATCATTTTCTATGTTTCTATTAGTAGATCACTTCCACGTGTTCATAGCCCAACAATTGTTGGACGATCATAGTACTATATTTTTTGTTCATTGATTACGAAATGAATTAGACTCAGCAGAGTAAAATCCAGTTAGCTTTAAACATTCTCTAACTAACCAAAATTCTGTTGCAGACTGATTAGATTTGACCCCTTTTCTTAGAAGAAGGAAGCATCTCATGTGGTCAGAGATAGAATGGCTAAAATGTCTGTCAGCTACAGCCTCTGATTCTAACAGAATTCTCCTAAGCCATGTGCTTATCTCGATCTACCCAAACTGTGAAGTAACTAGGGTCTACTTAACCTATCCTTAATTTGCACATTTTCTTTTGGATACAAAGGTATAAAACCCAACAGATTTTTAGTGACTGGGCAATCAGAAGCAGCCTACAAGTTCTGACTAGGACTGGTTGCCTGGGAATATCACATGTGTTAATCAAACCCTTAAAATAGAACCTATTTCCATTTTGTGGGTTTTAATTTCCCATGAAATATTATCAATGAAGACATATGTACAAAGGCATACCTAAGACTTATCATTTATCAAATTTCTGGGAAAGGAGGGTTAGCCGTTAGGAAGGGCAAAGAATAGATAAACAGTTCCAGTACTGTTCAAGTAGATAAAAATAAAAGCTCAGAATTGACCTTTTGTACCCATTTGCTCAATGTGTCCCTGCTTTCTTTTCTAACAGGAGAATTAAATTGAACAGACAATTTTTTTTTTTATGTTCACATTAGTCATGCTGTAAAAAAGAATTAGATCCAATGGGAGGAACCACACACACACAAAAAAGAAACAAACAAAAAAGAGAGAAAGCGCGCAAATAGTGTGCTTTGATCTGCATGCAGACTCCATCGTTATTTTTCTGGATGTGAGTAGTATTTTACATCATGAGTCTCTTGGAGTTAAAGGACAATGATTTATAACGAGGGAAATGGAAGAGGAAACAAAAAAGCAGATTCTTTGAGCAATTTGACCTGGTTCTTTGAACTTAAAATTTCCTATTTCCTTCTTCCATAAAACAGGCTAATGATGTGAAACTAGGGCCAAACAGCCAGCAGCCACGAACTAGGCAGTTATGAAGAAACAGAGCCCGGTGCATAGCAGGACATCTAAACGTGAGAACAAATGAGCATGAAATCATGCTTTTTCACTTTTGTGTCTTCCTTCTCTCTTGATCATCTCTCAGCAGACATACCATGCCTTCTTCTGTGACTATTTGCAAAATACTGCTGTTTCTGATGTTGGTGTTAACTGCCTATATCATTTTTATGGCTTCAGAAAACTTCTCAAAGGTAAGAATTATTTTCTCTTTTGGTGTTGACCGTTGCTCCAAGACAAATCAAAATGAATGCTATAGCTTGCACAGAGGAATGCCAGTTAACCAAACAAATACCTCAACATTTCTCCCCTATACTGGACAGGACAGGGAAGCTGTCCTTGAAGTTTGTCCAGAGCTCTGCAAGCAACCCAGGGATTTGAGCAGTTTCTTGGTTTACCAAACACACACTTCTAGGAGAGCTTAATACTGTTTGAGAGTCCAGGACAGACCAAATTCTAAAATGATTTCTGGATAGGAAAAAAGTAGCACATTTGACTGACTTATTTCTGATCATGGGGAGGCCTGGGATTGTCCATAGGCACAAATATATGGTTTCTTGGCAAGACTACTCCAGAGCCAGGTTGAGCTGGCTCCAGGCCATCCCTGAAATGACCTATCCTGACCTTTGGAATGTGACTTTTCTCTTTCCAACTCAAAATTATTGATTTTATTTAATATTTTATTTATTGATTGAGTACTGATTTTTTTTTTCACACAAGTCAGAAAGTTTATTACTCCAGTTCCATGGGTAGGCATAGGTGGTGGTTTGGGTAGACAGTGGGATGTGTACTCCAGAACTTTGGCTGTCTGTCCTTATGTCGGATTACTATTTATTATTGATTTAGTCTGCATTTCCAAGCATCATTAACTCTTCTCTCTTAAAAATGTATTTATATGAATATAATAATCACAAAGAAACACAAATATTGCAATATACAAAGAAAAAGGAGTCTGTGAAAAACCTGTGAACTTCTATTAAACACTATCTTAAAAAGAAATATATACGTGTGTACATGTACAGATACATATAAATAAATGCACATTTGCATTAATTTGTATTAATATATATGAGAGTCAAAGTGGCTTAGTAGATAGATAGCCATCTTCAAAGCCAAGAAGACCTGGGTTCAAGTCCTACATCTGACATACATTAACTGTGTGACCATGGGCTAGTCACTTTAATCCCTCTATTTTAGGTGACTCTAATATTATATGTTGCAGACAAGGTCTAGATCTGCATTGGTAAAAGGAGTTTCCTCACCTGAGACTACCCCGTATAAATGAAGTCACAAATCCAGTCCTTATTTCTCACATATAATCACTATTTGTTTCCTAAGGATTTCTAAGTCATTGGCACATGTTGGACACATCTTGGATGGTAAACAACACATTTCTTATAGCACTGAAATTGTAATTTTATATATTATACATAAACTGAAAAGAAATAGTGGTTGCAAACTAGGAATATGTTTTGTGCAATATCCACATAATATGTCATTTTCTCATTGCTCCATTTCCCTTCTATTTTCATTATTTCCACCACTGATTATTGCTTGGACACTTGCAAGAAGTCTTCATGCCCAGAAACACCACTCAAAACCATCACAGAACCCACCGAGACTGATTTGAGAATTAAAAAAATAATAGAGCAGGTGGATCGCCAGATCCCACACAGACCATTCTCTCATGTCAATACCACCACAAGTGCAACCCACAGTGTGACCAAAATCATCAATCCTAAGACCACCTACTGCAGAGGGGATCAGCTGGATATTCTGCTGGAGGTGAGAGACTATTTGGAGCACAGAAAGCAATATGGAGGAGATTTCTTAAGGGCCAGGATTTCTTCCCCAAAGCTGATGACAGGAGCTTCAGGACAAATAACAGATTTCAACAATGGCACCTACCATGTCAGTTTCACTTTATTCTGGGCAGGTAAAGTCTCTGTGTCTCTTCTGCTCATACACCCCAGTGAAGGGGCATCTGCACTCTGGAGAGCAAGGAATAGGGGCTATGATAAGGTCATTTTCACAGGCCAGTTTGCCAATGGCACATCCCAGGTCTTCAGTGAATGTGGCCTGGTTCTAAACACAAGTGCTGAACTGTGCCAGTACCTGGACCACCGAGATCAAGAAGCCTTCTACTGTGTGAAACCTCAACGAGTGTCCTGTGATGCACTGACCCATATGAAGACCAGGAGTAGTGGAGTTTCTTATCTTAGTATAAAGGAAAAAAATCTTTTACGTAAGTAAGTAGACTTGCAAATATAGAGTAGTTTAGTGAGAAGACTTTGGGGTCAAACCATACTCACACATGTAGAGTCATTTACCTAGATGAGCCAAATTAGCCATATTACATTTGTTTGAATTCGATCCATGAAAGGGGAAGCCCAAGGTCAAGCAACCTGTATCATATAGGTTCATAGATTCAGTAATAATATCTAACATTTATGTAGTGCATTAAAATTTTTCATTGTGTCTTAACCACAAACCTAGGCAATAGGTACTATTTTTATTCCCATTATACAGATGAAAAAACTGAGGTAGACAAGATCACACTGCACATAAGAATTGGAGGCTATATTTGAACTCAGATCTTTCTTACTCTATAATTGATAATTTATTCACTGCATCACCTAGATGTCATTAATACTGACTGATAGGACTGGTTTTAATGCTCTTCATTCTTATGAATATCTTTTTCCCCGACTCTTGTCCATAGTAATCCACTGATTGAATTGCCAGTTAAAAGTTGATTCAAACAAGAGCCTAGAACTGGGGTTGAGGGAAAGTTTACAAATGCCAACCTAGAAGAGTTGATTGAAAATGTCCTTTGGTTAATCTCAACATTCTTTTTGGTTTATTAAAATGTTTTCCTGTCCAATCCTGTGATGTCATTCTGAAGCGATGCATATCTATATGTCAGAAACTCCTTTGCAGTCTTAAAGATTTTTCTGGGGCACTGAGAGGCTGTGACTTTTCCATCATCATTTAGCTGGTATATCTCAGAGGTAGAATCCAAACTCTTTTCTTCTCTGTACCACATTGCCCCTCTAGCCTAAAGATAGACAAAGGATGGAAGGAAGAAAATAAAATAGTCATTAAGCCTCCAATATGTCATAGGCACTGTTCTGAGTGTTCTTTTACAGATACTATCTCATTTGAGCCTCACCCCACCTGGGAAGTAGGTGCTATTATTCTCCCCATTTTACAGTTGAGGAAACAGATGCAGAAAGAGGTGAAGTGGCTTGCCCAAGGTCACCCAGCTAGTAAGTATCTGAAGGTAGATTTTAATTCAGCTCTTCTTGACTCCAGGTCCAGCGCTCCATCTATTGCATCACCTTGTTGCTGACAAAAGAATCAGACTGCAGAAATTGAGGGACACACTAATGAGTTTTTGTTTTTATTATTGTAGTTCTGCATGTTGCATCTAGGAAGTTAGGTTAACTTGTGTTCTTGTTTCTTTGAGGTCCAATGTAGGGATTGAAATTATGAGAGGCTTTGAACCCATCACCGTCTCCCAGTGTAACAGTAAGTCTGCTCTTCTCTGCTCTCTGTTGTGGGTCATGCTCCATAACTCTATAATAAAGTCATTCGTCCTCATGCAACCTTAACTTTGCCTGTGTCATGACCAGGTAATTCTCCCTGGGGCATATCAGAGGAAGTGTGATAAGTGTCAGATTCCTTGGGTGTGGAAAAAAAAAAAAAAGAAATCCTATGCTAAGACATGTCTTCACATGGATAGAGCACCAGCCCTGAAGTCAGGAGGACCTGAGTCAAATCCAGCCTCAGACCAAACACTTGACACTTACTAGTTATGTGACCCTGGGCAAGTAACTTAACCCCAATTGCCTTAAAAAAAAGTCTTCACCTTAAGTTTACACTAGTTTTTCTTCTTAATTAGCCATATCTGTCATCAAAGCATGGGTGTGTACATTTTCATTTGACCCCTTTCAATCTGTATAGGAGTTATTCCCATCTGGCCAATCATCTTGCGCTGGTACCGTTTGAAGGCATGTATGATGGAGTCAGAATGAGAAACAGATTTCCTTTCAGACTTCTGGTGGGGCCATCTCAATTTGTGAGTTGATGAACTTGGCATTTTTATGGAAATGCTTTCTTACCCCATGGGCTTCAATGACAAGTAGAAATCTCATTCACATTATATAACAGAAATGCATTTTTTTTTTTGGTGGTTGGATCAAGCCAATCTTATTTAAAAAGTGATACATATAGCTGTGTGACCCTGGGCAAGTCACTTAGCCCCAATTGCCTAAAAATTAAAAAAAAAATTTAAGTGATACATAGTATAAAAATATAAACTAAATTGCCATGAACAAAATATTCATAAAACTTGATTGAAAATTTTGGGTAGAGAAGTAGTTAAAATGGTGTCTAGTCCTGAGAGAGCCCTGTGTATACCTGTGTATACCTGATGCTTCTGGGTATGTGGATACTGATCTACAATGCATTTTTCTTACTTTTTTTTTCTCCTTTTCTTTTTTTTATTTTTTAACAAATTTTGCATCCTTTTCCAACCTGATGCAGTAGAAAGAATGTTGGATTTGACGGCAGAGAACATGGCTTCGTGTCCTACTCTGCCACCTGTGGGCTCATAGAATCATAGCCTTCGAGCTGGAGGGGACCTAGGAAGCCATTGACTCTATCCATCCCATTTTAAATATGAGGAAATTGAAGAACAAAGAAGTTCCATGAGTCGTCCAGGGTCATATAGCTAGTAAACACTCAAAACATGGGTTTTGAACTCATGTTTCCCAACCTCAAGTCTCATCCCTGAGTCATTAGACCACGAAAGTCAGTAAATGTCTATAAGTAGCAGCTTCCTTATCTGTGAAATGAGGGGATAGGAATAAATGACCGCTGAAGATCCTTCTAGTTTCAAATCTATGATCCAATGATCCTTACTCGGAGGAAATCAGATCCACAATCCAACTCAGACCACAGGGATTTCTTCCATTATGGGGGACTCTTTCTTTAGCTTCCTTATTCTCCTTCTGCCTATATATTTAAGATCTCTAATAAAGTTGTGCAGTTATGTCCCAATTCGCCAGATCCCAAGCATCATTTCATGTTTTGAATTTAGGCCTTAGCCAGGGTCTAAGTATCAATTAGCAAATTGCAAAACATTACTTAAATGCAACCTATTTCTTTGAATTAGAACCATATGAGCCCTCTTCTCCTTTTTTCCCCCCTTCCATACTCCCTTATTTGCAGTATATAATAATACAAATGATAAAACAAAGATTCCGATAAATTATGAAATATATTCTTAATTGCTGAATATTTAGAAACTCTGGGCTTTTGGTGCTAATAAAAGGATCTTCCAATCAGTTTTTTTTAATGTAATTGACCTTCTATAAATAGAACAAACCACTTTTCATTTCTTCCAAGGTCAGGATACTGTGTAGATTAACTTTTCGTTAATTGCCAAGTTAGGGCACAGAACTGAGTCTTTGAAAAAGCATGAATCAGGGAGCCTAGTACTAGAACTATTCTTGATTCTCTTCCTAGACTGTACTTAGTTTTACCCATGCTTTTCTGCCCTCTTCTTTCTGAAGGACTTTTTCTGCTATTTCTGATGTTTCTTGACTTTCTTAAGATGAAGAAAGCATTAGAGTCATCATAAGGTGCATCTGGTTGCATCTTTTCCTCATCAATACCAGTTACCTTGTACTCATCTGAATTGAACAACTGAAGGAGAGTTTATTCCATTTTTCTTCTTTTTGTTTCTTTCCTTTTTGTCTCCCATGGTTTTTGGCTTTCTGATACATACCTCTACCCAAATATCACAAATGGCACATCTTTCTTTCTTTCCACAGTGGGAACTAATCTATGTTTTGAATGAATAGAAAAATTTCCAAATATGCCAAGTCCCTTGCTAAATGCTAAGGATACAGATGGAAAAGATAAGAGAGTCCCAGCACTCAAGGAGCTCAAACTTTTATTGGGAGAGACAATATGTCTAAGAGAGTTCAGCTGCAGAGTGTATGGGAAATCCTGGAATCCCTAAGTGTTCATAGGTTGGGTAGATGGTAAGATCCAGGGGTACACTGGGTGTGTGGGCAGACCAGATGGCAGTGCCCTTGAGGCCTGGAGGTCTGGAGTGGCAGGGCAAATTGTAAGGTCTATAATACTTCGGGATGCTGTGGCAAGGCAGATAGTTAAGTCTAAGTGGCCCTCCATCTCACTGGAGAATTGTAGGTGGTGACTCCCAGCTCATCCAAGCAGTGTGAGCAGCCAGTCTACTCTTCCATCTTACTGCCTCTGAAGTGGTCTTGGTGTCTGGTGGTCTTAGGAGAGGAAAAAGGAAGCCAAGGGTGAAGGCTGACCCTGCTGGTGGTTCTCTAAACCACAGGGCAACAGTGCATTGCGTTTTATTTCATTTGCTTTATGTGGTTAGCTCTCTTCATTGGAATACCATTCTAATGATGCTAGTATCAGCAGTTCCTTCCTGAGGGTCCCAGGTAGCTTTGCTCTGTTTCATAGTCAGATTGTTCTTCTAACCTAAAAGCCATCAGATATGTGAATGGCCTGGGTCACAAGGGAGATTAGGTGAAAGAATACAGATGGAGTAGAGAAAACCACTATCCACTACTAGAAAACCAACTCAAAATGAATATTTTGAAATAGTGTTAGTGGCATCATCTTCATTTAAAAAGGACTTTTGTAGAAGTCTTAACATTCCTGAAAGGAGTCTTGGAGAGGCTGTTTAGACTATCCCTTGGGTGGCACCTGCATATGAGTATTCTTGGGGTATTGCCTGAACCCATATTACTCAGATTAGTGAGAGATGGCATCAGTCTGTTTGAATATTTTGGTAATTGTGATAGAGAAGAAGATTGCTCTGATAGACTAATTCTGAATGCATTGAATTTATCAGATGTTGAAACAATGAGAGAGAAATGCCAGATTGGAATGAAGTCCCCTATTCCCAGTGGTTATTCTTTGCAAGGAAAGTGGAATCCAGCATTTTGTAAACTAACTCAGCTAAGTAATGTGGATGTAATCAATGATTGTTTGAAAGGAAAACTCATTTACCTCATGGGAGATTCTACCCTACGCCAGTGGATGGACTACTTCTCCAAATTTGTGAAAAGTAAGTTCTCTGAATTCATTTTTTTTTAATAATAGGATTTCTCAGGAGCTTTTTTTAGAGCACTTTTTTTTTTGGCTATTGGGGTTAAGTGACTTGCCTAGGGTCACACAGCTAGTAAGTGTCAAGTGTTTGGTCTGATGCTAGATTTGAACTCAGGACCTCCTGACTTTAGGGCCAGTGGTCTATCTACTGTACCACCTAGCTGCCCCACTCTGGGGCTTTTTTTTTGTTTGATTTTCTTGACCTTTGTAGGGATGGGTGGAATTCCTCAAAGTAATTCTTATATTTTTCATGAGAAAATGTTAATTCTCTTCCCTTTCCTGTGTAGCTATAGAAAATTTAATTGGGGGGAGGATGACAATATATCATGCTAGGCAACAATTATTCTCTAATTACTAATTATCTTAAGAGTAAGGTAATTAGTTTGGCCTGTACTGAAAAGTGGTAAGATTCTTTTCTTTGCTTCAAAGTTGTAATGATTTTCCCCCCATCAGCACTGAAATATTTTGATCATCATGGAAGTGGAGCATTTAAGAAGTACATACTTCTGGATCCAGAAAGACACATTCATATGCAATGGAAAAAACATGGGCCTCCATTTGTCACTAACAAACTGTACTCATTTAAAAATAATGAATATATTACCCGTGAAATTGACAGAGTAGCAGGAGACAGAAACACAGCCATAGTCATCACCCTAGGACAACATTTCAGACTATTCCCAGTTGACATCTTCATCCGAAGAGTTATCAATATCCAAAAGGCAATTAGGCGGTTATTGCTAAGAAGTCCAGATACCAAAGTTATCCTGAAGGCGGAAAACATTAGGGAGTTGCACAACGAGGCTGAGCAAGTGGGTGACTTTCACGGCTACATTCAGTACCTTATAATGAGGGACATTTTCCAGGATCTCAATGTGGGTATCATTGATGCCTGGGACATGACCATTGCGTATGACTCTAGAATCCTGCACCCCCCTAATAATGTTATTGAAAATCAGATTAATATGTTCTTAAACTACATCTGCTGAGGGATCGGAAAAAATCACCAGAAAGGCTCTCTATATCTTTATTTACTAAGTATTATGAGAGGACCAAATATATCAAATAAGAGATTCCAGTTGATATATGCCTAGCACAAAATATGAATACAAGTTGGTAAGTGCATCATGGTGGGGGGACAAGAGGAAAACATGAGGCCCTACATGCCCTTTTGGAATAGGAGATATGTCACGAGTGAGCATTGTTTCTGTTTCCATTACTGATTAGAGTCACATGGGAAATGTCTTCTTTGGTAGTATTGATTGCTATATCATCCAGTGACCCTAGTTCTCCAGGATGTATGTGTTGGCAGTAGGATGGGGAGAAATGACCAGAACATAGGTTTGAGGAATAACGTCTTGGCACAGCCAACAAGAACACAAGACCAACCCGAATAAGTGATTTGATTGAAGGCTAAAGGACTTGATCACACTACAGAGGGAATTGTGTGCAGTGGTCAATATTAAGCCTATCTCTGGGTAGTTTTTTCAAAATGCAGTGTTGTTCACTCAGGGAGCCCTATAAATATCCAGGATTTAGGTAATTTTAGGGAAGGAGAAGTTGTCTATATTACTAAGAAAGGATCCCAAAGGGAAAAGGAAAGAAGCTCTTTTACATATCCTCAGGGGTGGATGAAGCTATCAGCCAAATGGGGAGATGTGAGAGAAGTCTAGTAATCCTGTGGTCTTTCCTTAAGCTTAGTAGACAAAGTTGGGGTAGTGACTTGGATTCAGGGAAAGATTTTGAATGGTAAGTTACAGTTTTAAGGCATCAATACATTCTTGAAAATGGAAGGGGACTTCTTGATGATGGGAGTTTTATTTACCAACGCCAGAAAATGTTTGGAGATTGAGAACAGTAGGCCAAATGTTTTGCAATAGGACACTAATCAGATTTACACCTGTCTAAAATACTTGATACTGTCCCTCAGGTAAAAAGTTACTTTGAAAACTTCTATGGTTGAATATTAAATCTGGGCATATGTGCATGTCCCCTGATATACGTATGAGTGTGTCTATTGCTTAAATGTGTGTGTACTGGTATATCATGGATTAATTTGTTTTGGGAAAAGTAATGGATCATCCTTTACTTTCTTACTTTACTTAATTTCAATTAGGGAAGAACTTGGCAAGGTGGTTGTATACTTTGGGATTCAAAACTATCATTAGCCTTTTGTCTTTATAAGAAGAAGTGGGCAAATGCTGCACTTTCAGGGAACAGAAAGAATCCTCAAGACAAAAATCATAACGAAATTCTATAAGGGCTGGACTGAGAAAAGTATTTTTTTAATCAAATGACTTACAAACTTAATATTGAACAGCAATACTACTAGTTAGACTTGCCTTCTATTTACATTTAAATGAACTTCCATGAATAAAATATCATAGCAACTTTAAAAGTTACTACTTCTAAATTTTCAATGGGATTGTTTGTCTCTTCAGTTTCATCAATATTCCTTCTTTTATGGTTGCTGTTTATTCATTTGGTTTTGCTACACACACACACACACACACACACACTGGATTATTTCATAAAGGTCTTTCCAGATTTCTTCGCAGACCTCATTCAGCTTCAACTTCCTCATCTGTAAAATGGGGATAATAATAACACCTATCTTAGAGAGTTTTGTGAGGACCAAAAGAGAGCATATATAAAACACTTTGCAAACCTTAAACCATTTTATAAATGCTAGATATTATTGTAATTCACAGACACATGAGGAAATGAGATGTTAAGTGACTTGCAAAGGTTGCACTGGTAATAAGTGGCAGAGTCAGAATTTAAACCAGGGTCCCCTAACTTCAAGTGCAGTACTCTATTCATCATACCATAGTGTTTTTTGTTGATCTCCACTATATAATAATATTCCCTTTTTTAGAAGAACTTGTCACAACTACTCTCCTACTATTGGACATTCAGGTTGCTTCCAGTTTTTTTGCAATTACAAATACAGCAGCAAATGATAGTGACTTTAAAAGACTGATGAGCCAATGGACTAGAGATATAGAATAAGATATAGATTCTCAGACACGGGGAACTTGTTGATCTGTGTTGCTGGACTATACATACTTGTTATGAGGGTGACTTCTACTCAGGAGTGTGGGTGGGGTTGGTAGGTTCTAAAGGTATGGACAAATATGAAAAAAAAATCAGCTTTTTTGTTTGTTTTTTTGTTCTACTTTGTTCTGGGTTTGTTTCTCAGTTTTATTTTTGTTATCTATTAATTTTTGCTTAACTGAATTTATTCTGGTATGTGTTGTTTCACTGCTTTTTTTTAAACAAAAAGAAATGTTTTTATTGATATCATTTGTTTTTATGTATCTGCATTTCCTTCTTCATCCATTCTCTTTTGTTTCTCAGAGAGCTTTCCCTTACAACAAAGAATAAAAAAGGAGGAAGAAAAAGAGAAAAAAATTCAGTAAAGCCAATCACATTAAAAACAGTCTGATATTACATACAATGTTCCATACCCATATAGAACCATATCTGCATAGGAGAGAAGAAGTGTGTAATTCTATCTCTTATTTGGGATAAGCTTGTCCATAAATACATACATATGTGTACATATTGACACTATTCTACATTTTAATACCAGATAGTCACATTTTAAATAAACAGTGAGTTGATCCTATTAGAAACAAAATATAACACAGGTTCCAGATAAAATATCACATGTAACCTTTTCCCCCCAATCACAGATTTTTATTCTATGTAATGATTATTGATTCATCAAAAATAGTTTCACAGGTGAATGCTGGAGAGAAATAGACTTAAGAAACATTTATTTTTACCTCTCTTGAAGAAGTGAAAGTAAGTGATGTTTACATTCCTCTTCATTTGCAAGGTCTTTAAACTCTTAAAAATGTAGTTTCATTTCTCAAAGCACACACCATCTTTTAAAAATCTTATTGCACATACGCACTCAAACAGTCTCTTGTAAAAAGTGTGCATATAAATTGAAGACTTTCTGCAAAAATATTCTCCCTGTATCACTTCAAAACTCCAAACTGCAAATAAGCAATCACTGCAATTTGATTACTTCTTATTTCCATAGAAAAAATACAGAGTAGAGAAGCTTTCTGACTACAACTGTTTCATGATGTTTACAGCAACAGATTCTCTATGCTCTCTCTAAAATACTCCGTTGTTCAACACTTTTTTGGAAAAGAACAAACAGAATCCAGCAATCTTGAGGAGCCAGTAAAGGGATAGGGGGAGAAAAACTTTATAATACCTAACCTGTCCCATAAACTTTAAAGAAAAATTTAAGCAATCTCCCTCCTCCCCCCCGCCCCGGAACTAATCAATTCACCTTTTTAAAGGCCTTTTTTTTTTATTTCTGAAAGTAGATCTTAGTAAAAATCAATATGGCCATAATATATAATCTTTATATGTTGTTGTAGCTTTCTTGTTAACCCTATATTTAAAATTTTTGGCGTAATTTTCACTAGGTATTTTGTTCTACCATTTTCTTTTTCAATTTTGACTCCCCCTATTTTAGGTATCAAGACCATATTTGTATCATGGAAAGAATGTGGTAAAATTCCTTTGAAAAACTATTCTGGCAAACTGTGTAGTATTGTTCTTCAAATGCTTGATAGAATTTACTTGTGAATCAATCTGGTTCCTGGCTTTTTATTTTATTTCAATAATTGAGATATGCCATTCAATTTCTTTCTCTGTAATTGGATTATTTAAATATTGTTTTCCTAGTCTATTAATCTTAGGCTTTATATTTTTGTAAATATTAATTTTATTTCATTTAAGTTGTTGGTTTTATCAGCATATAGTTTGGCAAATATCTTTTATTTATTCTTCATTTTCTGTGGATTCTCCTTTTTCATTTTTGATCCTGGTAATTTTGATTTTCTTCTTTTTTAAAATTCAAACCAGCTAATGCTTTGTCTAGTTTATTTTGAAAAAAATCTCCTAGTTTTATTTATTCAATATTTCTTTTTTCTTTTCAGTTTTGTTACTTTCTTCTTTGATTTTCAAAAAATTTGTTGGGTTTCTAGTATTTTAGTTGCATTTCACTATCTGTTCTTTCTCTTTTTAAAATAAAAATGTTTAATAATACACATTTTCTCTTAAGTATTGTTTTATCTACACCCCAAGAATTCTGGATGTTATCTCATCTATTTTATACAATGCTTTGAAGTTTATGAAGTGCAAACTCATTTCAGTGATTCAACCTGAATACCTCCTGACTGCATAAGAGGTGGCAGATATTCTGCCCAAACAAGGGAAAGAAAAGAGAAGGTACTTGTTGGGGGGGGGGGAGGTGAAGTGGATGATGACATGGGAAGCACAGAACACAACTACAAAGTCATAAGCCCTAGAGGGAAATGAGCATGTCTAAGAGAGAGAGAATAGAAATACAGTGTAGTCATTACTTGGCCTTATAGTTTACTCAAGGCAAGGACCCTGGTAAGACAAACTTCCATATCTTCCAATGTGAGGAGTCTGAAGATGCCTTACATGACACACCTCAGATATCTGTGCAGCAGTTAGAGAGAGAGGAACGAAAGACTGAGGAAGGAATCTGGAAGCAAGTAATTGGGGAACACACTTAAGGAGAAAGGGGGGATGGGGGAGCTTATTGAAGAGCATTGCCATGGGGGAAAAGTGGGGGGTAACTGGTATGGGAGATGGAGACTAAATGATGGGTTTAATTTGAGGCAAGAGTGTGTGCATTGGGAGACTGTCTTCTATGATGATGTTGTGTCTTTGTAGACAACATCTCATCACAAGAAAAGAGGAAATGAGAGCTCCTAAGGGATGGCTGGTGCCCAAAAAGCTGTGTGGGGGCAGATGGGTGGAAGAGGAGTCATGAACCTCAAGATGAGATGGCAAGAGCAACAAAAAGAAGATTGAACTTGAGCAGAGAGAGAATTGAATAATATGGTTGGGGATGTTGTAAAACGTCTGTCATAGGACACTGCTTCTATTCAAATTACTCCCTTTGTAAGTGGAGATTTCTAAGAATAAGGCACATAAAAAATAAAACCATGGGGGCAATAAAACAAGATCTATAAAGGTAATAACAGACATTAGTTGGAAGACGGAGCTGGAATACCTTAATTCAAAAGCTTTAACTCCATGAGAACACAAAGAGATCAAAGAAGGAATAAATACCAACATAAATAATAAGCCAGAGACTAAAATGGCAAAATACACAGGAAGCAAAAGAGAATTAATGGAAAGAATAAAGTAAAGAAATTAGAAAAAGGTATAGAAAGAAAATAACTAACAAGCAAAACAAGTTAGAAGGGAGAAGAAGGGCAGGAGGGTGTTAAACTAACCACTTAACTGAGAGGAAAAAGAAGGGGAAAAAAGAGGGGATATTGAAAACTAACTAAATAGAAGAAAAAAATAAATTAATACTTTGAGTAAAAGCTCAAAACTAGGGAAAGGGTTGTCAAATAGAAGCAGTCAGAGAGCCTATGGGAATGGGATTCCATTGCAGCAATTTTTGCAATATCAGTCATGAGGATAAAGCACTGACATTGTTCATTCTTCATTCTTGAAAAAGGGCAGTGACAATACGAGGGTGATGTCTTGACTTACACATGAACTGGATTTAAATGAGGCAGAGCAGCACAAAGTCATCAGCCTCATTCTCTCCTCCAGAGTCATCTGAATCCAGTGGCAAGACAAAAATCAAGAGAACTGGCGATGGTCCCACATTAACACAAAGGGGAAGAGGAACAAAAGAAATTCCAAAAAATATATAAATAAAACAGCACCAGAAACAAAAATAGAGAAAAACACACGTCTAACTCTCATAACTTTAAATGCGAAAGGATGAAATAATGTAACCAAACAAAAGACAGCGACAGAATGAATAAGGAAATAAAACCCCATAGACTGTTGCTTACTAGTTGCTCTGCTATTTCTTTTGTATCCGACTCTTCATGACCTGATTTGGGGTTTTCTTGGCCAAGATGCTGCAGTGGTTTGCCATTTCCTTCTCTATCTCATTTTATAGCTAAGGAACCTCAGGCAAACAAATGATCTGTCCATGATCACATAGATAGTAAGCATTTGAGGGCATATTAGAGCTCAGGTCTTCCTGACTCTAGGCCCAGTACTCTATCCACTATGCTACCTAGTTGCCTGTTATTTGCTAGAAAACATTTAAAAAGCAAAGATAAACACAGGATCAAAATGAGAGGCTGGAAAAAATTAATTATGCAGCAAGTTAATAAAAAAGGAATTATAAACATGCTATCAGACAAATGAAAAATAAAAATCCATAATATAAGCAATGAAATTACATTAAGCTTAAAGAAAAAAGAACTATGGAGTCTGAATGCAGATCAAAGCATATATAAAGCAATAGATAATGAACTAATTTCAGTGTTAAACTTACATGTTTCAAATAGTTTAGCATCTAAATTCATAAAGGAAAATTATCTTGATTGAAAATAGATAAAACCCATAGCACAATAATAGCAAGAAACTTTAGTATTTTCTTAGAGGGGGACACATCTAAAAGAAAAACAAACAAAAGGAAAACATAGAATTGGAAAACTGTTGAAGAATTTAGATTTATAACA